ATCTGTTTGATGATATATATAGCCTCGTTTGTTAGTGTCAACAGACCCTTATTGCTCGGCATGCTGGTGGACGATGGAGTTCGATCATCAACAATTTAGTCACGGATCAACTACATCGATAATTGTCAACGGTTCATGAGACATCATGACCACATGTCCCTATATAGTACTCTCTACTCTAAGTGAAATACAAAATATAATCTTCACCTTTTTTCTTCACATTTATCCTGTATTTTCTTCAATTTTTAAAACATGCGTACACTATGGTGTATTTCGTATTTATACATTTATTTATCTACTTATTTATCTTTCTATTCACTTCCCTCTTTGTTATACCATCAACGAATAACTATATTGGTAAAAAGCTTGGCTGAACGCTTACGTGATCGAACCATATCACGGCAGTTTTCACAAAACCCAAACCCAGAAGACTATCATTGCATTAGGTCCGCTTCCGGTTATCTGTCACTCCTTTAATTCCATTGCACATTTTGTTTCTAAACTTAAGCTACCCTATTGAATTTGCGGTTCTCCGGGGATCTTTCTTACTCTACTCCAAAAAGACATTCAGATCCCTCGGCCATCTAAAAAGATACAATGATATTGTCCGTGGACAGCGCATCATTTTTATTGTCTCTGAACACTACAATGCATATCAGAGGTTTTTTGAAGAATACTGACAGATCTTAGCAAATTCATCCACGTCCGTTTCACTCCATTCTACTACAAAATTATACGTTCTTGGACAAACACACACCGCTCTTCCATAATTAGCTCGTCTTCACAGCAACTCTGAACAAGGTGAATCTGAATGCATAAGTGCATCGCACTGACTATCCCGTCATTGTATTACGCATAAATTTATCTATTCACTTATTGATCTGTGTTAGGATGACTATATACCAGTTGAATTTTCATCCCATGCGGTGTGTAAAGCATTGAGTTGACTTTAGTTCAATATGTAGAAGTTAGTACCTGGTTGATAGACTAAATAGTTAAATCCTTAATACGTAGAATTTGTTTGAACGGGTGAATGAATCACGGTTGCATTGTGTGATACGACAGTAGTCCGGTAGTACTTCCTGGATGAGCAAGTCAACTCCATCTGACGAATGATGTGACAGATGTACATTTATCGACATATCGCGCGTTCGTAAACATTTACAAACTATTGATAAAAAAAGGTTTGAGAAGCTGCTAGTATGCAATCTACGACAAGTTTACGGTCAGTAGAACTATCTACCATCGGACGCGGCTTCAGATCGGGGAGAGGAGATGTATCACTTGATTCTTCAACCCTGAGTAGATGGCCATTCCGAATAAACAGTTTCAGGCTGTCAGCAGTCATGTTGGAACAGGTGATACGTTTTCATCGGGCAACCAACCTCTCTTCAAGTGAAAACTAACCCATGGTTAAACAAGATCATGGTCGTCATCCTGTTGCACCACAGGTAGCGCTTTGCTTTGCGAGGAATAGAGGTGCATCCACGAAGAACAAGAGGACCGAAAGATCCTGAAGATGTTAGTATGCTAAATCATTATCATGGATTTGGTCACTGAGTAGGGAATGTACGACCAGAAACAGACAATTTATGGAATAATTCCGTTGAAATCACGGTAGTAACGTGTTTAATCTCATCCATACTGACACACACACGTTGGTTAAAACGAACGCATCAAGTGAAGACATTAAGAGTTTCGACTCTTGTACAGAAAAGTAAATCGGATGCAAATCATCACGCATTTCTATGTGAATAGTGTTTCGTTTTCTAACAGATCTGTTACATTGCGTTGTTTCTTCCAGCCAGTCTTCCGGATAAATAATTGTATTGACCGCATTCCGGCGAGTAGCCGATTTTGCGCTGTTCGGTTCAGTAGAGGTTAGCAACTACCGACGGGAACATCGGTGCTCGGTTGACGTGTCTGTGCATGTATCAACTGATTGCAGTTCGGCTGAATTGATGAATGCATTTTACAAAGATCTTGCTCAAAGTGTTCGTTCAACGAACATCGTGGTAGTGGTTGATGAGTTCACTGTTCGAGTAAGATCCCTGGACGAATAAGAGAGATTTCTTCGCTGCGGACATGCGATCTCTGCCAAAAGGATGGACAATGAAAATCACCTACGTCAACTTCGCATTGATCACGGATTGTTCCTATCAAGCACCAACTTCTCGCATAAGGAACGACACCTTGCATGGAAACTGCCCACTTCTTCACAACAATGGAGTCAGCTCGACCGCATCGTTATCAGTTATCGTTGGACGGGATCCATTAAAGAGTGCCGCTCTCACTGGTCAACACCCGCGGATATGGACCACTTTGTGTTACGAGCCAGAATGGCAAACAACCGCAACAAATTTGCCGGAAACGGATGAGTACAATGTGAGCCATAATTGTAAATCAACCTTCAAAGCGGAGCCAACTCATTGCCTTTCAGTTCAATCACCAAATGAAGGATTCAATGAACACCGGACACTAATCAAAGACACGGATTCTGGTGAGCGATCCAAGCACAAACAATGGATCTCCTCGACCTCGTTTGCGTTGCGAAATTCGACACAGCGCAAATCTCCAAAACACCAGCTCATCAATAGCGTGAAGAATGACCATGAGAGGAATGTAGAAGGCTTCGGCTAGTGGTAAGAGTGGCACTTGCTTCTATTTGATTAGTAGTAAGGCCTCAAGGAAGGTAGATGTAAGTGAGGTAACTAAATAGTTCGACGGCATTTGGATTCCTCTTTAGCAACGTCCTCTTGAACGATTGGCTGAGTATTTTAAGACAGTTCAACCGGACCCCATAGAGGCTAAAAGTTCCAATTCTTGGTTTAACTGAGTCAATACTACCAGTTAATTTCCCTCCTTCCTAAGTGGGGGATACCCGGGAAATACGTTATGCCAAAAAGAAGAAAACCTTCGATCCGAACAGGCTGTTCCCATCTGCCATCACAGTTGGAGGATCAGTTTTGATCCTAGAATTGACGAAACTTCTAAGCTAAATATGGGCGAGGAAAAATGTTTCAACTGAATGGTGTGAATCGGTCACCATGCTGATCTACAAGAAATGTGAACGACCCCCTTGTG